TCAATAGGGTTAATTTAAAAAAATTAATAAACATATAAAATATGTTTTACATATAAAATCAATATCAATTTTTTAATTATATCCTATATCAATGATAAGAGGAGTGTAAAGCTTGCTCGAAAGTGATGATTTTTTGTCATTATATGTTAGTGAAATTGTTGAAAAGTTGGGCTAAAATATGTTTGGGCAAATATTCACATCAAGTATACTTATTTTAATTTTTTTTAATTGTGAGGTTATGAGTTGAATTTCCATATGTATGAGTATATATGGATTTACAAAAAAAAAAAAAATCTTATTCAAATTATGGATTATCGAATAATATGACACATAATTTTTTAAAGCTAGTGCAACATTGCAATTTCTTTTATGAGCATATGTATCTTCTTATTAGATACTACATCGGTCCTTAATAAAAAAAAAAATCTTTTTTGACTTTATTTTGATTCCAAATAGAAGATCCTAATTCATTTTGTCTCTCATATTATGTATTTTTTCAAGGTAGTCTTTCTAACAATGATGATTCTAGCCAATATACTTAATTAACAAGGATATTTTAGGAAAGACAATACTATTTATTACAAATAACTAATTTAACTTATTTTCTTAGTCTTCTCAAATTAGTCAACTAGCTTTTATAATTAGGACGAAGGTAGTATAATGCTATTTGAGAGTGTTTGAACGACAAATATTACTTTTTCGGTCCTTAATATAAGAGTTAATTAAATGATTGATGTTGGTCTTATATACAATACCTATTTCACATATTCATCAATTTTTTTTTCAAATTAGCCCTGTTGATATTCTCTAACAATAATCAAGTAAGAAAGAGAGAGAAAGAATGGTTTAGAAAAAATATATTATATTAACTAAGTTAACTAATATTCTAATCTATTTAAATTACTTAATTAGATCTTATATTGAGGACAAGAGGAAGACTTTTTTTTTTTGGCTAACCGTTTACATTAATTGTCCCCTTGTCTAATGTTGACTTGAAAATAAATTTTAAAGAAGAAAAAAATTATACCGATTTTGAAATATTGGATGCTATATTACTCTATAATTTTCTTTAGGGTGTGGTGCCTATAATTTTTATAAACTTTAACTGTAAATTTTGTTTTTTGAAAAATATGTCACTTTGGTTTTTCTTATTAAATATATATGCGTTGATTTCCCTATAATACCCAATTTGATTATTTGTTCCAGAAACTTTCCTTACTAATAAAAATTCCCTTTAATACATGCAATCAATATGATTGTTTGAGAAAATAATTATAATTTTAAGGGACAAAATAATTAGTGTCTTATATTTAAGATTAAAGCGAACTTTTAAATTAATTTTTATATTTAGAATTAGAGGGGTAGTATGTTATGAATATTTCATTTTTGTCAATTCTTTGTTGCAACAACAAATTGTTTGCATATATTGTGATAAAAAAAGGGTAAATGCGACCAAAAAAAAAGAAGCGGCACACATGGTTTGGTGGGCAAGATTTCTTCACAAATTCCTCAAAAGTAGGGTTCATATAAATGGGTTAGCGATGTGCTTGAGTTGGTGATAACTATGATAACAAGAGAAAAAGAACAGTAATTCATGAATAAAAACAAGAACAATAATTCAATATTATCACAGAGCATAGACGTACTGGAGTCTTTTCACACAGTTATGTTTATCAGTTTTGAATTTTTTTTTTAATGTTACTGAGATTATGGAATCTGTATTTGTTTTTTTTTTTTTAAAGAGTAACAAACACCAATGACTGGGTACTCTTATTTAGATCTAACAATTTTTGAATCTATAATTCCATTAATCTATTAGATGTTGTACGAAAAAAAATACATATCTCCATTTGTAGCATTTATGCTATTTTGTTTTAGCCACTGTTTTTGTTAAATTGATGGCTTTATTTTTTTTGTTCAGTTAGTTAAATTAAGCTGTGCAAATATATCTATAAAGTATTTGCGAATAGGCACATAATATTATAATATTAATTTGAGTGCAAAAGTATGCATGAAAATTTTAAAAGAATGTAAAAATGTTATGGCCATTACTTTAAGCAAATATTTATTAACTTTTACAACATAAAGTCATAAACAGACGTGGGGGCCACCATTAAAAAGTAACAGACGTTTAAACTACGACTGCAGCATTTGACCAAAAAAACTACGATTGCAGCATTATTACATTTTTTTTTTTTTGAATTTTTGAGTACCTTTGCACCTAAGTAAACATTATAAAGTTGAGTCCGTATTCAGAGATATTTCATGAGTAAATTGCACCTTAACTCCTAAATTAATTAAAATGTATTTGTCGGTTGTATATCAGCATATGAATGTTGAAAGTTCGAACGTTTAGTTGGGTTTAGTGATTTAGGAAATGCGAATATTATGAATAAGTCTCAATAATTAAGGACGATTATTTCCATGTCAATTGGCCCCCCTCCATATACAACACAAAGTACAATTTAATTCAAACCTGGTCTTCTAGGGGCAGGAGGATATTGAACAATTTTTCAACTTCAAATACTTTTTTTTTAATGATGCTGAAATAAAATAAAGCTTTTGACGACTACAACAATGAGTACATTTGACAAAGTCAATTTATAATAAAGAGATAAGAGTTGTTTTTTTAGGAAAAATTGGTAAAAAATCCCTAGTTGAAATTTTAATCGGTTAAAAGGATTTGAATTTGAACAAGTACAATTATGATCCGTCAGTACAATATATCTTCCATGGTATATAACATATCATCAATGATGTACAACAATAATCAATACAGAAGTTATTTGCACACAGTGAAAGATATATTGCACATAGTGGAAGATATGTTACACTCACGGATCATACTAGGATGTGCTCAAATTCAAGTTCTTTTAACCAATTAAATTTTCAAACAGGGATTTTTTCACTAATTTTTTTTTAAGAACGAATATGTAATTTGAATTTTCTACTATCAAGATGTGTGCGCGCAATACAATAAGAAAGAGACAGGAACAAGAATGACCTGGGAAAACCAGACCCCGGACATCATTTCTTTATATCACTCTTTTTCAGGTACTTGAATATCTAAATATAAAAGATCTGTTCAGATCAAAACTATCAGTTAGCCTTGCTTTTTTTTTTTTTTTTTGAGGTCAAAAGTCAGCCTCTTACTTGTTAAAAGTTAAATTAAATGGAAAATTATAATGAGGTTTCAAGAAAGGAAAAAAAATTACAAAACAAGTCCTAAAAGTTATCACTCTCCATTTTAGAACTTGTCATTATACACTGCCTAAATTATTATTAGGACTTTTTAGTAATTATTTCTTTTTATTGGGATTTGATTATAATTCTCCCTAAATTGAAGCTAACAAAAGTTCTATTATTTAATACATAAATGATAGAATTGATACATTGATATATATACACACATATATATATATTTCAATACATACTGGTCTAGAGAACGCATACACTATCTATATTGATTCTATTGCTGTCTTATAAGCTTGTTACATCCTCAAGATGATTATTTCAACATCAATCGGCTTCTTCAATGTTACTCTGCATCACTTTGGTGCCAACAGTATAATTTTGTTCCGACCTTCTCCCTTTAATATTATAATTATATCAAACAACGTCTCAACGTTGCAATGCAATTCCCGTCTCCTGCAACCAAAATAATAAATGAAGAAATTATATCCCTTACATAGTCTTGCTTCTTTGCGTCTCTCCTCAGGAATGCATAATTGTATGATTGCAGAAGATCCACTGTGACCAAAATGCGGTTTTAGTCCTTCGTATATGCCAACCCAAAGCCAAGGGGAAATAAGGGATCTTGCATTTTAACTCCATCAGCTGGTTGATCAAGATCCTTAACTCTCCTAAACCAAGTCACAGGAAGCTGACCCTTGAAGTCATGATCCCCAAAGATAACGTCTGTGATTCCCTGAGCTTCACTACCAGGTAACCAAGCAGCAACAAGAGCATCAATCTTTCCTAACAGCCATGGCTCCAACACCAAGGGCCTTCCAGAGATCAGAATAACCAGTGTCGCGAATTTGTCGGCAACTGAACTAATAATGTCAGGCCCATTTAAGGGGATTACAAGCTCAGAATTGTCTCCCAGTGTCTCAGCATAGGGAGCTTCACCAACAGCAACGATGGCAAAAGATATGTCATTGCGCTCTAGGGTTTCTTTTGATGGATTCTGCTCATAAATAATTTCTGTTTCATCTCCTACAGCTTCCTTTATGGCATCCAAGATCGTTGTACCTAAAACAGTTTGCAAAGGTTAAACGTGATGAACATGTGTGGGAATACAGTTTGATTATCTGATGAAGTAGAATTGTTTAGGACTTTGGATAAAAGGAAAATTTGTTTGAATAATACTTCTTGGCCCCGCATAGATTGAGAGTTAAAGAGGAGAATCTGAGTTTTCTACAAATAAACTCCAGTATTTTCTGTCCAATAAGCTTAAATTGCCAAAAGGGTGCAATTGAGGTGTTAAGTAGACATGAGCTGGTGACCTAGGCATCACAAACAAGCAGAAGATCATACATAGGTGAAATCAAGGTTTTAGATGATCGTGATTTGTGGAGAATTTCAAAATTTTTCACTCAATATTGTAGAGGAAAAGGGTTTTACAATTTTTCTACTCAAAACTGTATATGGAGAAAGTTTTACAATTTCTCCATTCAAAATTGTATCAGGAAGAGTTTGCAAAGTTCAAATTTGCAAAACTTATAAATTTGCGTGAGATGATCAGGGATATAGGTTTATTTGAGGGATCAAACTACATTAAATTAAACATTTGTGTTGTTCCTATCATTTTCTTCTCTTGTGTGTATTTTCACTAATGATGTCCTAAAGGTAATGAATTTCAATAATCAAGAGCTAATTATTAAAATCACTACCTCGTAATGAAAAATAAACCAAGTTCAGAAACAAGAACAGTTCATCTGCGATTTATGAGAATGAACACACAGATTTAGAAATGCAAGGAAAACAATGGCATACCAATTGTGATCCGCCCACTCAATCCAAACCATGTTTTAGTCCAGCCTCCACATTGAAACCCGAGATCATCTGCATGGGTTCCAGCTACAAGAATTCTCTTGGCTTTTCTATTTAAAGGAAGAAAAGATTTGCTTTGATCCTTTCCATTTTTCAACAGAACCAGGGACTTTCGAACTGCTTCCCGTGCAAGATCTCTATGTTGCTGCAGAAATAATGGATGACGAACAAATTTTGAAGGATATCAATGGGGATCGGAAGAACTATATCTAAACGAACTGGAAAAACAATTGATCCTTAATCCTTTCTTTCAAATATTTCAACGGGGTAAGCGTCCGTATTAAGATTTGTACTCCTTGCTATATTTGAAACTGAAGCTTAGATAGCGTTGATTAAAATCTCATTCATTCTTGCACAATGAAATATGTCCACAAAAGAAAAGTGAAGATCCTTGATCAAACTGTTAGAAAATTGCACAAGATACTGGTATAATTAAAACTGCCAGCCAGCTTTGACAACACAGAACTCAAGAACCGTTTGAAAATGCAGGGAGATGTAGAAGTGAAATTGTAGATACAACATACATTCTTTGAATTATGGGTTAGAAAATAAGATTAGATGAAACAAATTCAGCTTGATCAGATATGGATATATGGCAAAACCTTAAAATGATAAATCAGCCTAAATTTGTGAAGGGAATTTGAAAATATATTACCTTGCAACCAACAATATCAAGCAAAGATCTGTCAGACAAAGGGGACTCAAAAAGACCAGCAGCGAATTTCACTCTCAATATTCTCTCAACAGCATCATCAATTCTGGCTAGTGGTACTTCCCCTGATTCTACTAAGGAGGTCAACAAATCCATAAAAAGCTGGAATCTAAAAGGCACCATCACCTGCAAAATTTTTTGAATGCATGAAGGAAAAAAGGGGCAAAAAAAAAAAAAAAAGAAAGAAAAAGAAAAAGCAGACCATGATAAAGGTTTCCAGAATTGAAGACCTATACCATGTCAATTCCAGCATTAACAGCTGACAAGATGCAGTTTCGGTAATCTGACCCACAAGGGGCACTGTTTGGAAAATCTGACCAAAGCCGTTCTAGTCCCTCCCAGTCAGAAATTACAAAACCCTATAGCAAAGCCAAATGTATAAATTGAACAAGATGATCAATTTAAATGCAGTGAAACGGTTGAAGAAGCAAAAGGACTGCAGTTATGGCAGTACATTTTCTATAATAAAATTGAAAGGACTCTTATCCTCTTCGGATAAGAGACAGAACTGCAAACACAGAAATAAGTTCAGTACTTATTCCAACCATGGTTGTCTTACCTTAAAACCCAGCTTTTCTTTCAAAATTTTAGTAACAAGGAAATGATCAGAATGGAGATTGCGTCCATTCCAACTGGAATAAGAAACCATAATGGTTGAAACCCCTTGTGAAATGCAGTCCAAATAAGGAGCCATGTGAACCCTTTCTAACTCTTCATACGATAATACTGCATTTCCTTCATTTTTGCCTTTCTCAGTACCTCCATCTCCAACAAAGTGCTTGGCACAGGCGATAACCTTGTTCCTGAAACATTGATTAAATATACGATCACAATTTTGGTAAGAATCATTATATGACCACTAGTTTGCTCTTTTCCAAAATGTGGCCAAAAGGGGACTATGGGGGGGGGGGGGAACAAAGATTAGCAAGGGAACTTTGGAGGCATCATAAATTTTCATCATTGAAATAACAAAGAGATGCCTGGGATGAAAAATTTCTTTTCTAGGGAAGGAGTCAAACTTGGAAAAATAATACCAATAGACTACACAGTAAAAGAACAAAAACAAAAAAAAGTCAGAAAAAAATGACGCCACCGTGCTGTTGACCATTATTAAATTGTAATTGGGATGGCACCTGATATTTATATCATCACTATTTCCATAAAGAGCATATTTCTTTAGGAATTGCAGTATAGTTTCTCTTTACCTTCCAGCAACAAATGGATAACCATGTTGATGTCCTTGTGGAGGCTGGCCCTGCAAGCCTGAAACTATGGAGGTCATCTTTCTGACTATCTCAGTATCTTCACTGTAACTCTCATAGCATCTTCCCCACCTGGGATCTTTGCACACCTGTCCGTTAGTTCATTCGAGTGAGACAGTGTTTTATCTCATTTAATACAGGGACATTCCAAGGGGCATGATTCAATAAATACAGTAAAAGACGTGCACTGATACATATGCTTTAATTAACGATGTTATTTAACTGCAGTTAGTCACTAATAGATACAAGAATGCGAGAAGTCAAAATAAAGACGAACTAACATACACACTCTGGTTTATTAGCTGATTTTCTAATATCTTATAATAACATAATACGGGTTAATTATGATGCCTTACTGCAACACAAGGAGCAAAAGAATAGTGAATTCCACTTGCTCTAACTTCAAGCGCTGTTGCAGCCCCAATACTTTGAGCTAAATCTGCGTCTCTACAAGAAGCAACCAGTGAGCAATGAAAGTTCAGTTCTCAAGAACAGCGGCAACAATTCTGGTAAAGTAAGCAATTATGCTGCCCGCCGAACCCATTGCGTTTATCAGCCAATCAAACAACTTTTGAACTTATATGAAAAAAGAAAACCGGACAAAATTAGAACTCACAGATTACTAAAAATGGACTAGTAGTGTCATAATCAAGTTAAAGGGAAAGAACGAACCTAGTAGCTCCGAGGCCCACATTGTGAGGATGTATGGTGGCACCATATACACTATTATTACCATGAACAGCGTCGATCCCATATATAAGCGGTATGCCTAATCGGGACTCAAGAGCTGACTTTTGAAACCCATCCACCATATCAGCCCAGTCCGACGACAGTGCATTTTCAAAAGGTGCACTACCTCCAGCACTGAGGATACTCCCTTGAAAGAAAAAGAAAGCAAATATTACTATCATAATCTTCAAATAGCTGAAGGACAAAAAAATGAGAAAATAGTACCAATAGACAGGTCTCTAATGGCCGAAGGGGTTGCAACGCGACGCTCGATTTGGGTCATCTGACCAATCTTCTCCTTGAGAGTCATTCGGGAAAGAAGGTCTTTGACGCGAGCTTCAATGGGTTCATTGGGATTCTTGTACGCGCAATCCATGTTAATTCACCGCTTATGCTGCTGAAATGGAGAGAGTATTGTGGCAAGTGGAAAGTAGAGATTTGGGAAACGTTTCACAGGACGGCGCGGTCTCATGTCTACCACATTATAGCGGGAAGCGAAGCAGTTGGTTGGTCAAAGCACGAGGTCCTCGTCCGATCCAGAAGCAACCATACGGACCAAACGGTCTTTGACATGTGAGCCAGTTGTGACAACTTCAGAGAAAATAATTACTTAAAATTTTATTGTAATTCTGTTTTTTTTTAATTTTGGTTTTCCTTTTACTCAAAAGAACAAATACTAAAAATCTAAATTTATATCAAAGCAAACCAGCTAAGTTGCCTTAATTAAAGGTTGGGTAAGATTCAATCACATAATCAAGAAAGGACGTAAGAGAACTAACTAAATTGAAATTCTATGAGAAGAGGCCATGTGCAATTAATTATTGAAAAGAATTTATCTATTTATATATGTCAGTATATCTTAAAATCTCATGGTAAGCGTAATTATTTATTGATACTTATTATCTTCTTTCAAACTAATTGATGTTTACTGAGACTTTTTAATTATTGCTGCACTTTTTCTTTAATATAATAACTAGTTAAAAATTCAATTTAGTCATAAATATAAAATTATAATCTATTTTGTCTTTAATATTTATTCATTTTGCTTTCAAGTAATCTCTATAGTTATTGCATATGTTAAAAGATTTTTATTATTTGTATGATTGATAAGAATAATTTATATAAAAATAACTAATTTAATTAATTTTCTTAATACTCACAAATTAATTATATAACTCTTATATTAAGACCCAAGGTAGTCTATTTCTTTTGTGAGACCTAATTTTTTCTTATAAAAATATCAATCATATATTATTCCAAATATTATTATATTTTTGTAAAATTATCAAATTAATATTTATTCAACATTTATCTTCTATTTGTCTTTATGATTTGTTTGGTTGAAGAGGAATGGGGGGAATGAGATTTTAGTAAGTTCAATTTTTTCAACAAGATAAAAAATTAGGGTTGAAAGTTTTTATTTAATTTTCCTTACTCTTTTTTTTTTTTTATTCTCCCTCTATTAAAATTCTATAACCTGATTTTTTTAAAAAATTAAACTCATCAAAATCTTTCCTCTCATCTGTTGTCCATTCCCCTCCAGCCAAATAGATGGTTAATAATAATATCCTATGCATGGCAGAAGATGTAAACTCCAGGGTAGATACTAGATAGCAACCTATCTACACATTATACCCAATAGATGTTATTGAATGAATCATATTTCATATCCTAAATGTTATTTTGCATCACTTCGACAATAAAAAGTATAATTTATTTAATACATACCTCATCCTTTTAGTACTGCAAATCTGCAATGATATTTAACAATATTTTGATTTTCTAAGGCTTGGTTTGAACAAAGGGGAAAATGAGAGGAAAATAGGAGGAGAGAACATTAATGAAAAAAAGATTAAAAAAAAAAGTTTGCTATTTTTGGGAGCTTCCCCCTTAGTATTCTTTTCTCTATTTTTCTCTTCATCCAAACCAAAAGTTAAATGTTTTGTAATACTGACATAGTAAAATCAAAATTTTGACTGCTACAAGGGTACGTTTGACATAATCAACAACTAGATAGAATCATTTGTTAGGAACAAAAATGCAATTCAAATTTTCCCCAACCAAAGGATGCTATGTTTATGTGATTAAAAAGGCACAAAAAGAAACATGAACACAAGCTAAAGAGAGGAACTAGACCCAATAGTTTCATTTCCTTGGGTCATTCTCTTTCTGAATACAAGAATACATAAATTAAAAAAAAAATTAAGGTATCAATTTATCCTGAAAGTTTCTACTTAAGATCTGTTTGATTAGAGGGGAGGGCGGGGAAGAGAGGTAAAATGAGCCCCTCCCCTCATTTGGTTAGAAATTTTGAAGGGAAGGGGAGCAAAAATCCCCCCTCACCTCCTCCCATTTTGGCTCCCCTCCAAATGGGGGTTTTTTGGATGGAAGCAAAAATCTTAAACCATTTTATCCTCTTATTTTTTTAATATTTTATTAATACCCATAAAAAATAAAAATATATATTATTATAAAATTAATCTCAAATAAAAAATAAATTATTATAAATAAATGTATATTATTACAATTAAAAATATATTATAATAAAAATTCATATAAAATAAAAATATCATTACAATTAAAAATTAACTTGTTTTTACAAAAACATTATTTTATCAACTAAAATGTTTTAAAGAAGGAAGAAAAAGCATAGTCAAAAGAAACAAAAATTTCATTTTCTTAAAAGAAAAGTAAATTTGTTAATTAGATTATTTAAAATATATTATTATGCTAATTAGAATAAAAAATTACTGTACCAATTGTTTAATACACATATTAACCCAAAAATATTGCATTCTGGTACCTAAAAGTTTTTTTTGAATGCAAATTTGCCTTAGAATTTTAAAATCATGATAATTTTCCCTCTACTGTTAAGAATGCTAATGATCAATGTCACTATTTTAACGGTCAACTTTAATTTTTCAACGATAAGAAAAAAAAATTGTTACGATTTTAAACTTTCAGAGTAAATTTGTATTAAAAAAAGTTTCCAGATGCTTAGCATTCCTAAATAAAAACTTTTAGGATAAGATTCCATCTTAACCTTGAATGCAAATATCTAAAGGGACATCATAGAAAAGTTTCAAATAAGAAATCTAATTGATGATAGGTCCTATCTATGGCAAAATGTCTTAGGATGACAAGCATATACCACATGTTGACATGTAAAGGGAACCTATTAGTAATTAAATTCCTTACCTAAGACTTCTATGTGATTTTCTCAAGATTTAATCTGAGCAAAATGTGATTTTAGTTCTTAGCATGTGATAACCCAAAGCCAAATGGAAATAAGGGATCATGTCTTCTAAGTTGATCAAGATCCTCAACTCTTCTAAACCAAGTCAGAGGAAGCTGACACTTGGAGTCATGGTCTCCAAAGATGATGTCTGTGATTCCCTGAGCTTCAGTACCACGTAACCAAGCAGCAACAATAGCATCAACCTTTTCAAACAACCATTGCTCTAACACTAAGGGTCTTCCAGACATCAGAATAACCAGTGTTGGGAATTTGTCTGCCACTGAATTGATAATAGATGGCCTGTTTAAGGGGATTACAAGCTCAGAATTGTCACCGAAAAACTCAACATAGGGTTCTTCACCAACAGCTACAATGGATAAAGATAAGTCATTCCGTTCTAGAGTATCTTTTGATGGACTTTGCTCATAAATACTTTTATTTCATCTCCCACAACTTCCTTGATGGCATCCAAAAACGTTGTCCCTAAAATAGTGTTCAATGGTTGAATGTAGCAAACATGAGGCATTAGAAAGTAAAAGAGTGATATAAAGCATGAAAAATTAGCATTACCACTCATAAGAAGTCTCAGGCAAGGGACGGACGTAATTGTTGGATTATTTTTCCACGTTATGGATTTTGATTTTCAGATGTAGAGATGTTTTGGAATTTGGATAAAGGGAAGATTTGCTTCAATAATACTTCGGTTAGACCCAAATAGATTGATAGTTTAAGAGAGAATGTGAGTTTTCTATAAATAAAACCTCTATTCCAGTTCAAGCCCTCAAAAAAAGCAAAATCCTCTATTTTACATCCAATTAACTTAGTTATTTGAGATTACCAAAAGGGTTCAACTGAGGTGTCGACTAGCACAAGATTATACACAGGTGAAATCAAGGTTTTAGATGATTGTGATTCGTGGAGAATTTTACAACTTTTTTCATTCAAAATAGTATGTGGAGAGGGTTACACAATTTTTCTACCAAAACTGTATACGGAGAAGGTTCTACAATTTTTCTATTTTAGATTGCACAAGAGTTCATAATTTTTTTAAGTTCAACGTTGCAAGTCATACATTTTGTATTGTTTTTCTCATTTCATTCTATTATTTATTATCTGTATTAATCCAAATCAATAACTCGTTATCACAGATAATTTATTTCTGGAGGAAAAACAATACATCTTTGATTTATGAGAATGAACACCGCTTAGTAAATGCGGCAAAAGTGAAGGCATACCGACTGTAATCGGCCCACTGGATCCTTGCCAATCTTTAGTCCAGCCTCCGCATTGATGGCCGAGATCATTGGCATGTGTTCCGGCTACTAGAATGCCCTTGGCTTTTCTGTTTAAAGGAAGAAAAGGTTTGCTATGATGCTTCCCATTTTTCAACAGAACCAAGGGCTTTCGAACTTCTTCACGTGCAAGTTCTCTATGTCGCTGCAGAAGTAAACAAATTTTTAAGGACAACAATGGGGATTGATCGGAAGAACTATATAGAAAAAGGAAAAAGTAGTTATCTGTATCTCTTGTTTCAAAATTTTGAAAGGGTAAAGGTGCAAATGCATATTAAGATTTGTACTATTTATTTGCGTTGATATTTCAAAAATGGAAGTAAAGCTTACATGAAAATGTAAAAGGCATCGATCAAATCTAATCAGTCATTCTTGAACATTCGAATATTTCCGCAAGAGAGAAATTGAATATAAGGATCAAACTGTTGGAAACTTGCAAAAGCTATTTATAAGATTAAAACCTCAAACCAGCTTTAACAACGGAGAACCCAAGAAAACTTTCAAAATGCAGAGAGCCGTACCAGCGCAATTGAAGGGATAACATATACAATGTTTAAATTGTGGCTAAACAGGGGAGATCACGCGGGGAAAAAAAAAAAAAATCAGCTTGATCAAATATAGACATGTGGAAGATTTTGAAAGTGATAAATCAGCCTAATCTTGTGAAGGGAATCGGAAAAAATGCTGAACTATTCTTACCTGGCAACCAACTATGTCTAGCACAGATCGGTCAGACAAAGGGAATTCAAAAAGACGAGCAGTAAATTTCACTCTCAATATTTGCTCAACAGCATCATCAATTCTGGCTATTGGTACTTCCCCTGATTGTACAAGGGATGTCAGGTCTTCCACAAACAGTTTGAATCTAAAAGGCGCCATCACCTGCAATTTTTCTTGAATTGATGAGGGAAAAGAAGGATAAAAAGAAAAATGAAAAGAAAGGAAAAGCAAACCCTGACAATGG